AGCCCCGTGTCCCCTCCCAGTCCCGCGTCCCCCCCGGTGCCCACCACCACCGGCCGGTTCCCCAGGAAGTTCAGGTCGCTGTTCTCGCCGAAGAGGTAACCCTCGGGGTGCGTGGAGTCAAACTTCTCGCCGCCCATGATGAAGTGGTTGGCAAAGTAGCTCCCTGGAAAGAAAACACAGAGGCTGCCTGAGCGGAGGGGGAGGACGGGGCTTCAGCCAGGCGATGAAGCGGCACGAAGCCACCGAATCGATGGCTCAGGGGTGGCTTTGTCCCCAGGGTCACCTTGCTGGGAGCCTTTCAGATTGAGCTCATGCGCTGTCAGTCTCCAAGCAGGCAGAGCTGAAGGGGGAGCTGGCCAAGAAGTGACCCTGCCTGGCTGCCTGCTGCCTGCCTGTCCTGCCCTCCCCTCTCCCTGCCTGCATCCCTCAGCCATCATCCCTCCTCGCCGTGATGGCCGAAGCGTGGGCAGAGAGAGCTGGGATGGGGAGAGGCCAGTGCTGGGGTCCAGCCCCACAGCAGCGCCTGGCCTGGGGGCTGCTCCATCCGTCGGGATTGAACAGGAGCAGAGTCACACCCCAGGGCTTTGGCTGTGTCCTTCCCCGAGCACAGCGCCTGCTCCCCTTTCCTTGCTCGGAAATCCCTGTGAGCCCCAGCCCAGCCTGAGCTGCCCAAGGTCACCCCAACCTTCAGCCATCCCCGCGCTGGCAGGGGCGACCAAATCCTGGTTGGTGAACAGAAACGGGAGACGGGTCCCAGAACGGCAGAGCAGGAGAGCGGCACTAATCCTCCACATAAACACCAGCTAATTTCCCGAGGAGGCAGGAGAGGCAGCGGTCACAGCCTGTCCTGCCAGAGCGCCAGTCTCCAGAAGCCCTGGGAGCCCCGGGGCAGCTGGGTTGGCTCCTTCACCCCCACAGATGCTGCCAGGAAGGGGCAGCACGGACCAGGCACGGAGCCCTCAGAACGGGCAGGGATGGTCCTGCCCAAAGCCCGGCATCACGGGCCTCGTGTGCCATCCAAGGCAGCATGTCTGCAGCCAGACACGTGCCCGGGTTTGCCATGGCCCCCACCGGGAAGGTGGGCAAACCACAACTGAACTGAGTTCTGTCAGTTCTCAACTTGAAGCCTTCCCTAGGAAGGACCCGCCTGCAGGAGGGAGGATTCTGGGAGGATGCAGACTCTCCAGGAGGTCAGCAAGCCCCCTGCAAAGTGTCCCACATTGCCCTGATGAACACCAGGCAATGACCAGTGTCTCTTCTTCCCTTGGAGGGTAAAGCACGGAGCCAAAACACCAGCATTGTCCTGTCTCCCAAGCTCAGAGCAGCCCCCAGGCCAGGCACTTCTCAAATACAGGAGGTATTTTCCTCCCAGCTCAACCAGGAGATGATTGGTGCCTGCTCCTTGTCCGCGAGATCCGGAAGCAGGAAGGTCGGGACTTCTCCTTGAGGTGGGAAAAGGAAGGGGAAAAGGGAGGTGAACAGGGATGGTGAGGAGTGAGCAGAAGCACCAGGAGCCATGAGAGGCAACGGATGGAGGATGGGCACGGCACCCTGCATCCTGCCAGCCATGGGGACAGGATCTAGTTTGCAAAAACCCCAAACCCAACAGCACAGAGCCATCCACAGCCCCACTGGGGACACCTTGAAACTAAACCTTAGATGTCCGCAGATAAAGGAGCTCAAGCCTGGGCTGCAGCTCTGCTTGTGGGGACTGAAGTCAGAGCTGGCAGTTACCTCCCAGCAGATGCAGCAACTGCCCAGGGCTGGATCAGGCCTTAATATTGCATTTAAAAACCAAAACTGAGCCCAAAGCTCCCAGTGGAGGAGAACAGGGGATCTAACACCAGGGCAGGAGGGACGAGTGGGGCCGTACAGCTTCATCCGAAGGCCCCGCCACACAGGGATGCCCGGATGCAGCACACCCATTAGCAAACGTCGACCATCAATTATTGATGCCTGCTGCTTTCTGGGCCCATTTTCCATGTACATAATTTATAGGCAGCTCCCCAGGGAAGGACACAGCCATGTAAAAAAAAAAAAAACAACCAAACAACAAAAACACAAGAGCAAAGTGCCTTCAGAGCTGCCTGCTGGGGGAGAACAGGGCAGTCAGGAGCTTTTCCTGGCACCAACTTGGGGTGAGAGCAGGAGATGGAAAAAAAAGATATTTAAACCTGCAGAAAACCTACCCCAGCACTAGGGAAAAGCTTGAAAGTGGAGCACAGGCTCTCTGTGATGGCCCCAGTCATTGTTTGGTGGGTGCTGGGAACTCCCATAAAATGGGCAAAGCAGATGAGGACCACACTGCTGTCATGTAGTCTCTCTGCCAGGAGTTGGGAGCACCCCTGGGTGCTGCAGGCTCCCAGTGTACTCCATGCATGGTCCAGGGGCTTCAGCTTCCCCTTTGCAGCAGATAGAACTGTCCCTGTGCACCCTCCCAGGGAAGGTCCTCCAAAAACCTTGCCATTAAACAAGAACCCTGAGCTGTGCCAGGCTCTGCCAGAGAAGCACCAGCACGGAAAAACCCGGAGCATCAGCAAAGCCAAGAGCATCCATCAGCAAAGCCCAGGAGCCTGCCAGAGCCACCAGGTGCCAGTGACCCTGTAGGCACAGCCCGGTGGCAGAGGAGTGAAGCACCTTTCCAGCCACAGCCACCTTATTATCGGCTAATTATAAATCCTTAACCAAAGCCTACCCCTAGGGAAGGAAAGCCCGTCAAGGACGGTCACGTTGCAAAGGGAAAGCTAGGCTTTAATGACATCTTAAACTTCAGAGACTCAGTGAGCAAGCGTGTGGGAAGGGCTGAACAGAGTGGCTGCTGGAAAGGAGTAATAAACAAAAATTCCCCAAGGTTCTTGTCAAACAGAGTGTGTCCTGCACGCCTACCGGCACCAGCACATGGGACATATCTGGCACCAGCTGGTGCCAATGACACTGTCAGCCCCTTTTCTCCATGAGTGCCAGGGATGCCACCTTGCCCAGATGCCTCGAGATGGGTGAGGACCCCGTGGGCGCAGACCCTGGTGCGTGCTGTGGCCATGCCCATGGCTCTGGCACACAGTGGCACACGTCCTGCATCATCCCCTGAGCCATCGCTGCCCTGCTGGGGTCTGTCTCAGCTCTGGTAACGCAGCCTCTGGCTCTCAAACATCAGAGCCTGGATGTTTCAGCTGGGTCACAGCCGGGCTCTCCAAAACAGCTAAAATACAGAAGCTCATTTTCAGCCCATCCACACGCACCCAGAGAGGCAATCGCCGAGTTTCACACAGGCTGAGGTCAGCCCAGAGGCCGTGGCACAGTGCTGGCACAGGAACACCCTGCGGCAGTGAGTGCTGGCACAGGGTGCTGCCACAGGCACAGCACCGCCTGGGCGAAATCCCGGCTGGTTAAAAGGTGCAGGGTGCTTCTGCCCCAAGGCACCCCATCGCCACCCGGTGAGCTGGCACACTGCAGTTTATTTAATTCAGTGCTCTAAAGCAGGCAGCCAGAGCCAGCAGCAGCCCGAGGCAAAGCCAAACCCTGGCCACAGCACTGCTGTGTCAGCCCTCACCCACTGCGGCCCTGGGAGCCCCTCGGGCTGCTCCCTGTGCCTTGGCAGTGCCACCACCGTGGGGTTGTGCCCCCCAGATTGGGGTGTCTCTGCCTGGGCAACCCCTTCGCTCCTGTTCCCAGCCAGGACCCTGCTCCCGTGTGCCTCAGGGGAGCTCACTGCTGGCCTCAGCCAGGGACAGGGGCTGAAAGCAAGGGACTTGCCCCAACAGGCATCCCACTAGCCAGGCAGTGGGCTCCATAAACAGCCCCTGCTTGCTCTCCCTCCTATCGCCTTTGCTTCAAAATACTGTCTTAACTAATCCCATCTGTACCCTGCCTGGAGGGGATGGGACCCCCAGGATGGGAAAGGGAGATGCTTGACTAGGACAAGACATGGCTGCCCTATTCCCAGGGGCTGCACTGGCCATCCCAAGTGAGCCTGCAGCAGACTAGCTAAAGTCATGTCTGAAGAGAGGGAGATGCCTCAGGGTCCCACAAGAGCCCCCCTGAGGGCCACGTTTCGAAAGCCAGTGGCTGTGTCCAAGCAGCATTGGAGGCGAGAGAAGTGCTGCTGCCACAGAGTCAGCTCCACTGCCCGGCATGTCCTCCCCTGCCTCCCCCTCGGCTGCCGGCAGCACTGAAGGCAAATCCCCTCTCAGATTAAAAGCAAACCAGCCATAATCTCCCCTGGTCACCAGCCTGTCTTTGTCCCAGTGCAGATGGCCACATCACCTGGGCACCTTCTGCCCCTCTCCCCAAGGACCCTGGGCAGTCCCAGGACCATTCCCCACCCCCGGGCTCTGCTCAGGCCCCATCACTGGGACCAACCCAGCTGAGCACACCTGAAAGCCCCAGGTTCTCCCTGAAAAACAGAATTAAGCCTCAACCTGGTGTCTTCTGCTAGCTGAGATGAGTTGGAAGTGCTCAGCTGGGTGCACTTGCTCCCCCAGAGCAGGGCACAGGACTGACACCCTCCACCTCAGATATTTCAAGAGCCCCTAAATAAGAAGCAGCCCCAAGAAAAAAGCCTGTAATGCACGCCCCCTGCAGAGAGCAAACCCACAGATGGGGTGGTCCAGCTTCAGCTGGCATCAAGGTGACAAAAGCCTTGAAACCGTGTAAAGATGGGGAGCTGGGGGAGCCCCGCGGGAGGACAGGCTGCCCAGGATTGGCCACCTCCACCCCGCAGTGCCCCAGTTAACCCCCACCACTGCAGATGTGCCAGCCAGCTGTGCAACTGATTTTAGATTAATTTTTTTTTAAAAAAAAAAGCACCAAGCACAGCTTTTCAGGACAAGAGAAGGGTTTGTGTTGGCTGTAATTCTTCCTAAGGAGGTCTTTATTTGTAATTAGCGAGTAATTTGTCACGGCACTAATGATCCAAGCGTTTACCTTATCCTATTAAGTACCAGAATAGTTACCTATTAATAATATTCAGTGCCTCAAGGATCCTGTGGCAATCCCCGTGCACGCACACCGTGCTCCCGGGCATCATCCACTGATATCGGTATTTTTGCGGCTCTGAAGCGCTGCCAACCCACGGAGCAGACTCCATCGCCTCTCCCCACAGTGACCCCCTCATGGCTCCCCTGGACACCCGCTTAGCCTGGCCCTTTGCAGGGAAAACCAAGG